TGTGAAGCTTCATGAGTTCGATTTTCTTATGCAGAAGCCATAACTGTTTGCCATTTTATCTAAACAGTCCAAACAGTTCAGGAACGGAACAATATTCAGAGGGAGAACAAAGGTTGTGAAATAACTAGGGTAAAGTAAAAAGGAAGCTAAAGCATGAGTGCTTACAGCTAATGTGGTGGTTGTGACTAATTAAACACATTTTTTTTTAATTCTCAAAAAAGTATGCACAAAAATCCTGATGTTCTACATGTGACCCTTTGGAAGTTGTCATGTTTGATGCCTCAATACAATTGTTATTTCACTGAAATGTAAGCTGTAAGGTGTTTTTGCAGTTACAGTTGGAAATGTATTGACATATCTTGGAAGTCAGCAAATAATCATCTCTGGATAAGGAAGAAAACAACAGAAAATAGTGATAGTTAGGAGATAGTGAAGTTCAATGACTGAAACTTTTATCAGGCACATCTTCACCCTCAGTCTATCCAAGACGTTTATTTCTTCTTCAAAACAGATTTGGAGAAATGTAACATTACATCACTATGCTCACCAATGGATCCTCTGAAACAAACTCATCTATACCTTTGATGGCGTGAGGGTGAGGACATTTTTCATTTTTGGGTGAAATATTCTTTTAAGACATGAACTAATAATGAACAATACTTTTATGTATTAAAGTTTGTCAGTTTCTTCCTATTGTAATACAGTTTTAACATCAAGTTAAAGAATAAACGTATTATGACACAATTGAGTTAATGTATTATGAACAGTAGTGTTTATAAATAACATGATATTTATTAATGCTGTTAAAAAACTGGTTCATTCTTGGTTTTCGAAACCTAACACATGCAATCATTTTATTCTCAAATGTTTCCTGCTGTTGGTTTACAGCAATACCGTTTTAGCTGCAGCAGCACAATCGTGCTAGTTTGCATGTGTTTACTTTAACCGTGTGATATGTTTAGTTTGAGTGATGAAACCGTGCCAGCTCAGGTGCTACAGTCAGGAGCCATGAGTTCACTCAGCTGTAGAGTTACATCAGCCATGTCTGTATTACCTTTTAGCTACCTGGGGAAGAAGCACCGAGGGCCTGTCAACATCCCCAAAGGACTACAAGCAGGAAATGTGACAAGTGTTTACTCAACCTTAGTGACACCTCCAACATCAAGCAATCTGTTGGGGTACACCTGAGCCCCGTGTGTGCGCATGCAAGTTCTTCGTGTGTGCAGTTTAAAATCATAAATTAGATTTTCTATGATGATAAAACACAAGGTTCACGCATGGACAAAAACTATTGATTATATTACTATAACACAATATTTTGTTGCTCTAAGTCCTCAAAAGAGGTGCACGTAATTGCACCAGAATTGTGCAATAATTTGGTTCTTGCCGTTTCGCAATTTATTTCCCATGTAGTTTCCTGTCACTCCTCCACAAAGAACATTTCAGTGAACTGACCTTGACTAACACAGATCCATGCCGTCTATAAACTACATGTGACTAAGAATATTTTACTCTCATTTAGCATGCCAAGAGATAGGAGCCTGCTCCACATTACACTCAGTTGATTTCACTCTCTTCCAGCTCCTGCTTGATAATCGTTTCCCCTTGTGCTGGAGTGCCTGTTTTTAAAGTCTGGCTTGGCAGCCAATGACAAGAGGACACCACATCAGACTGGGGACTCGGTGTAAAGCAGCACTAAATACATCTGATGACAACACCTCAGCTGCTTTGCTAAACAAATAAGGATGAACAAGGGTTTTGATTAAATGTTAAAATTTAATGTGCCAGTGCATGCATCATCTCCCATTATGGCTGTTTGACTTACCCAACAGCTACGTATTCCTTCATTTGACATGATTAGCATGATGCAACAAAGTTCATTTCTATATTATACATTTGCCCCATTTTGACCTTTTGTTTCAACATGTCCAAATGGTGGGATATGTTAAGGTGTATATTGTCGCAATGGAAACATTAAAAAAAAAAAAACATACTTACAACCCACATATGCCTATATTCAGACACTTGACAGTGAAAAATAATTTCAATTACCAGCAATGGAAACATTTTTATTAAATAGCCTATTTTCCACAAAATTTAAACCGAGCAGCAAATTTGAAAATGAAATGATTAATCTAATAGCAAAAATGGAAAATGTAACATAAAACATGAAAATATTGCATTGGCTGACAAATACCCTATCTTAATTATTCCATTTTCTGAAAGGTTGTTTATATATTTGTATGTTGTAATATAATTTATTTTAACACCCAGCATGACACTGGTCCAAAGAAAGTTGTTTTTGAACCTTGTGTCTCTTTTAAAACAGTTTGACGGATTGTATAATGTTCACATAAGCTGTTTATCCCTATACACACATTAGCAGGATGTTACCTATCCTTTTAAACCGCAGTGACACAGATACACCCTTTGTTCTAACCCCAATGTAAGACATGTGTTGACTAGACATTTTATAAATTTTTAGCCTTGAGGAAAGGTAAAGATCATGTAGACAAGGTAAATAAATGAAACAAGAGCTATTAAGTATATTTTTATTTTTATTTATTTTATTTAGTCATTTATTAGACGCATTTATCCAAAGCGACTTACTTATTTTTTAGGATTACTGAAAAATAACACTGGCAAACACACATGCTAAAAAACAACAACTTACTGACACATAGTAAGAAATGGTTATAAAAACTGAAACAGAAGCGAAACAAGTAATAGGAAATAGGAGAAATAAAAAGCGATGCTTATCCTTTGCCGGGGTCCCTGCCCAGTGGAGTCGATGGTATTTACACTCTTCGGTCTTCACAGGAGGAGGCCGTCACGCGACGGCTGTCGCGGTAAACTAAGCTTTTTTATACCCGTCTAACAAAATACTAAATTAATTCAGCTGGACACACACTTTCTTTTAAACAAAACAAGTGTTTCCTAGCAACGACAACTGCACTACACACTAATGAGACAAGTAAATACACGTACGAGCTGCTTTTAACTTCTGCTGATAAAGACTGCTTCTCTCAAAGACTATTTCTTTACACTGTTTTCTGCTGGCGCTTGAACACACTTTCCTTATTTTCTCCGCAACAAATGGCCAAGCAAGCGCAGACACTGACAAGATACGCGATACAGAACGAGACCAAACGCGAAGTATATATATGCCATATAGGGGCAACCTATGTATACAAATGGATTTGTTTAATTTAACAATTACAGTGTTCAAATACTAACTAAAATTAAATTAAACTAAAATTCTATTTCAAATCTGTTAATCTGGTGTGCTTCCCCTGACACTCATTTCTATCATTTTTTTCTCTCTCTGAAACTTCATAAAATACTGGCATGATGTTAATAGCAGTAATACTGGAGACAGTGATTCTTTGTTATAAAAAAAATTGTACACAAAAATACCAAATTAACTGAGAGTATGATTCAAGTTTTTGGAAGTGCAAAGTAGAATTCTCCTTTAATTTTATTACAGAGGGGAATTTAAAAAGTCTGGGCAGATGTCAGTTCCCAAAATAGTATATTTTAGGAAATGTAACATTTCAACACTTTTAGAAATAAGGCGAAAATAATTAAAGACAGAATTAAACAGTATTGCTACTATATCCTTTAAACCTAGAATTAAAAAAAAAATCTTTAAAATCACACTCTATAACCACACATACTCTTCAGATGAAACTTTCCTCTTCATTTAAACGTCTAAATCGTAGTACTGTTAAAACCTTGAACATATTTATAGCACAGATTAACAGGTGTCAAATTATGCTTGAAGATGAATCTAGAAAACTTCAGCCAGAAAATGCTTCATGGTGATACTTTACAGTAGCTGAAGAGTGGCAAAAAAAAGGTAATTATATTTATGCTCGTGCTCTTGGTGTATCTTACTTAGCCAAATGAGAATCAAGGGCGGTTAACCACATATGATTAGCAGATGGAACACGTTTCTAACGGTAACCTGCAAACAGGATATGTACCTAAAGCACATTAGTACTATTTTCATAAATATCTCTTGCTACCGTTGCAGTTAGAGGCCCCTCACCCGATCTCTGAGGCCCTCGCTTACAGGTGTAAGGTCACAGAGAGAACATGAGGCCACATTCATGTCAGGATTAAGATTTTTAACATTTAAAGCAGTTAAATTATTAAGTAAACCTCACTAAACATGAATACGGTTTCCCGTAAAATATTGTACTATTATATCCTATTTGTCATAAGCATTACATGACTTTTGTGCTCATTAATCTGATGCCATTAAGTAATAACAAACTGTGTCAGTCTTCTGATCATTTATCATAATTAGTTTCAAAATAAGGATTAGCTTCCAGAGTACAAGGGATCCAAAGATTAAACAATACTGACATTCAACTAAGCTGATATGTGACACTTAATAAAGAGAAACATTTTCAATATTGAAAGAATCATTTATTTGAAATTACTATGTAAAAATAAATGGATGCAATGAATACAACCATTACAAAGAAACATAAATTACAGAAAAATAATGATTGTTTGTTTCTCAACATTGAAACATATAATTGCAAAATACTAAAATATTAAACTTTTTACATGTCATAAAGACTTGAAATTGTTTTTATTGAATGTGCAGATAACTATAGAAGCCCGTTTCTGCCATGAAAAAAGAAAAAAAGGTAATTGTGACTTTTCATCTCACAATTCAGACTCTGTTTCTCACACTTCTAAGGAAAAAGTCACATATAAACACAGAATTGCAATTTGTAAACTAGCAACTCTAAGAAAAAAAAGAATAGTGAGACGTAAACTTAGAATTTTGACTTTTTTCTCACAATTCTGACCTTTTTCCTGCAATTGTGAATTTACATTTCACAATTTTGACTTTTCTTCTAAGAATTGTAATTGCAGCTTTTTATCTCACAATTCTGAGTTTATTTCTTATAATTTTGAAAAAAAAAAGTCAGAAGTGTGAGATAAAAACTCATAATTGTGAGAAAAAATTCACAATTCCCTTTATTATTTTAAAAATAATAAAAAAATTTTTTTTATTTTTTATTAGGAATTTGGCTTCCATAGATAACCTTGTGTCTCTTGACCACTGGTATGTTTAGTCCGAGGTCATTCAGGATGTTTCTGGACGTACTGTTTGACAGTATCAACAATAGTTGAAACCTCAGCCATGGCACCTTTACCTGTGAAGACACCAAGACTGGAATGTAAGACGAGCCAAAACACAAGAAACATTAATTCATTAAATCCTCCTTTGATCAAAGAGCCTGCTACTTGAAGCCTGCCAGGTTCCATCTGTTTGATCTTCAGTTAACGAATAATGCATGAGTGATTTCACACATTGATGAGAATTGTTTTATCTGTTCTATTTTCCCTTATCAATGCAATTGCCTCATAAAAACCATACACTTTCTTAGAAGGTACCTTCATCTCCACAGACTAGTTTTTTGGCAATGCATGGTATCTCAACATAGCCAAAGCTTTTAAGTGTGGCCACTTGCTGTGCAGTGATAGGGTGCTGCCACATGGCTGTGTTCATAGCAGGACAGAAGAGCAGAGGACGGCTGGTGTCCCAGGCCCGCACCACACATGTCTGTCAGCAACAAAATGGGTAAACACATTTAGATAATGATGTATCAAAACAAATCCATAAAAAATGCCACAACAATGTAATAAATACATGACCTACCAGGAGGTTGTCACATATTCCACTGGCAATTTTACCAAGTGTGTTGGCATCCAGTGGAGCAATCACTAAAAGATCTGCCCAACGTTTAAGTTCAATATGAAACACAGGGTCAGAGCGCTTTGTCCACATCTAGCATAGAAATATAAAGAAAGCCCTTCATATCTACTATGAAAAATACTCTTATCAGGCCAGTCTGGCTTCTGATGTAACAAAGAAGGAAACAATATTATGTTGTTCTCCGAATAGTGAAAATGCATCTCTTCCTCTTCAAAGGCTGTACTCACCTCCCACTCATCCTTATCTGTGTACACACGGACAGGGACTTCATTGATATCGTAAAAATGAGTGGCATGGTCTGTGGTGACCACACGGACTTCAACCTAGTGAACAGAACAGAAAAAATTGTGTTCACCCACCAAAAAACCTAAAAAAAATATATTTTAACATTTAAAATAATAAAAAAAAATTCACAATAACGAATGAACAGGACTAAAAACTTAAAGTAAAAATAAATATATGAAAATTAATTAAATATGTTTTTTATTTTATAAAACTTTATTTATTAATTAATTTACTTGTTTATTTCTGAATCAAATGAATGAATTACTTAATGAATAAATACATTTGATCAATTTATTTATTCATTTATTTGTAAATCTAATAAATAAATAAATATTCACAAGAAAAAATATTCGTTTTTTTATATCCTCTATTTTATTAATTCTGCAAGGCAAAATGCAACAGCCACTTAAACCAAAATAAATTATTTACAATTATTAAAATGTTCTAAAATTCACCTCTATTTTAACTTAATTGTGATAAACGAAAACTTAAAAACTTTACTTTGTATTTTATAAACTAAGAGAGTAGAATAAAGTTCAATGTTGTAACAAATAGCACTCTCTAGTGGATAAATATGTGAAATGACATTGGCGAACATGATCAAATCAACGACAGCAGTGGCTCTGTGAAATCATGCATCAACTGTTTGAATATATATTCATGCATTTTATGCACTTACCCCTGGAATCTCAAGTAGTTGTGTTGCCAACAAAGGCGCCTTGAGTGCAGCTACACTGCCAGTCAAACCGACCAGAACATGAAATCTTGTACTATTTGTTTGCAAGTCTAGTTGTACTTGATCAGATTCAGAATGCTGCTGCATTATAGAAAATTCCTTAATCCTCTTGTTTACTATACAGGACTGTTTTAAATATTTGGTTAGTTTCCCCTGTCTAAAGTGTTTCTCTTGAAAGGTATGATATTTGTATCATTCATATTTGAAATGTATTTCGGGATGAGAATTTTTATTGGACATTTAAACAGCACATGTAATGAGCAGTGAGTCTAGAGTCCGTGCATGTCAGTCGTCGCTCATTCTTCAGTTTTGTCTACTTCCGTAAACATTGGAGTTGTTGCAAACATCGTCACAGCGCCGTCGCTGGCTGGAAGTACCGAGTAAAATGACATATGAAGCCGGCAAACGGATAATGTTCCTACATATAAGATGATGTACGCCTTTATTTATCAAAATGAAATATAATTTGAACTTCGTTTAAAAAAGTAATTCCCAGTGACGAATTATACTACCCATAATCCTGAGGGCAGCTCAATTATAGGCTAAATGTATTGTATTTCATCCTTATAATAAAAATCGATAAATTGATAGGTTTATATTGCACATTGTATTTTTATTTATTAATTTTTGCATAATTTATATATTATCGTCGTTCTTTCATTCGGTTGTCATCCGCAGTGCTTCATGGGCAGCGTAGTTCATTGGCTCATAAAGACGTTACATCCTTTGTCTTTTAGTTCGATTTCCGTTTCTTTAAATAAATGTTTGAATGTTGTGATTTGTCTCAGGCCCGGGTGGTTTAATTCAAGGCTTAAAACATTTTACTGTTGAGTTCTATAGAAAATGAATGGGATACTTCCGGAACGTGAAAAGGTGGGCGGCGAGTGTTGCGTTCAAGACAAGTGCACGCATGCGCATTCGAAGAAATACTCTGGAGTCTGGACAAATGACAATCCTTGGACACGTCTTCCGGCTGCTTGTTACAAGATTTACGTCGCCTGTCATTCATTTTCAAATCTTAGCATTATTGAATGTGAATATTTGCAATGCAGGCTCTCACACCTCACGTGTACTGGGCGCAGCGGCATGGGGAGATATATCTGCGAGTGGAGATCAGTGATGCACAGGTAAGAAAAACTTGCTTTGGGGCAATTATTTCATAATAGTCATTTTCTTATTCTGGTTTCTTTTCGCATTTATTGCATTTAATATATGTGCAAATCCAGACTGTAGGTGATGGAACTATAAAACTGAATGGTGTAAGGTTAATATTCAGCCTCTGTAGGTCTGTTGACAGAGCTTGCATCAAGCCTAACGTTAGATCACAGAGAATAAAAATGAAGACTACTGAAAGGGAGATCAGGACTTGATCCTGCTGGACCCATTAACCATCTGGCCCAGTTACAATGACAGGGCATGTTTTATTTACAATCCAGTTTCAGACATTGGAGGAGCATCTGCACCTTTTTCCCTCATTGCTTTCTCAGGGCAGGTTAAAGCGTGTTTGACCAGTCCTCTAAATAAGGTGAATAGATAGAATATCCTTCTTCTGCCACTGAGAGCTCTGAAACAAAGGTGGTATTGCTGTGTTATATTAATAGGTTTACTATGACGTCCCTTTATGCAAATAAATGTTAAAACAGTTTAGAAAGCTGTTACATTGTTTTCCATAGTATGTCTCCAATAAGTCAGAACAGCAAAAGAAAAAGAAAACTTTTGGCATACATAGGTCAAAACTTAATGACATCAGTTTTGACAACACTTTTTAATTGCCAAACCTGTCAACACAAGCCCCAAAAACCAGTGGTCCTCAACCTTTTTTACTCCAAGACGCCGCATTGTCCACAACAGTAGTCATAGGCACAATTAATTTTCCAGTTGTTTGGTACTTACTGGATAAGAATTTATTTATAGA